CACAAAAACAGCCAACGGCGGGACTGCAATCGGAGCAAAGCCACAGGAGTGAGAGAAAGGGACACAGTCTGAGAATCCCACACTAGGCGCAGCCAAGTCTGAACCTGGGATGGGACCAACTGGGACTTCCGATAGCGCACCAGGAACCCAAACCTGGCGAGCTGGGAAAGAGCCAGATTCCTAGCTAGCAGACCAGCAGACCGCCTGGGAAGTCCACACCAACCAGCTGTCGAGGTAGGCCAAGACCTGAAGACCTAGCAGATGAAGACGGGTCACCACGACTCAAGTCAAGCACATAAAAACGCGAGATGGCAGATCAACCTGAAAGGGAGATGACAGAAGCGGTGAGCATGTCATTCCACGACAAAACCGAACCAAGTCCTGAACCCAGATGGATAGGGACGTGCCAATACGTGACCTTGAAGTATCCATGCACCCGGATCAGGGAATGAGCCGGACCGTGGACAAAGGGGTCAACTGAAAGGAGGGATGAACCAACTCTTGAGATGACCTGACAGATGGACAGGTAGGAGGCCTGCCCACCCCCACCTAAAAGAGGAAGGGCAGTCCAATGCCACCGAAGGCCATAAGCACGACCCGAAAAGCCCACAAGTCGTGGGACCAGGTGTTGGCAAATGAGCGAGTCTCACCCCTCATCGCCCCGACAATGGGGAAACCCGAGAAAGGGGCGACGAGAACCCCCAAGATGAGGACCTTCGTACAGAGAACACCGCACCAACCAGACGAAGAAGAAGGCATCGGGGAGCTCACAGACTCTCAAACTGGCACCAGTGGCCTAACCCGACTAAACGAGGCTCGAGCCCTGGCACAACCATTCCGGGAGGGCTGGGAACGACCCTCCTTGAAGAACCAACAAGTCCGAAAGAGGCCGGCAACGAGTAGAAGCCGCCAACAGAAACTAGGCAACACAGTCCTCTGGGAACAACAGAGGACACAGTGGCTAAGAAGACTGAAGAGCCAGGGCCCAAGCCGAATTCAGAGACAGAGCTCACATCGCTTGCCAACACGCGAGACTAGAGGTGATAAACATAGAAACCGCCTCCTGGAGGATTGGCGCAAACAGCAAGGCAGATGAGGCCAAGCAGCAGAGGGCCCATCACCCTGCACTTCCACAACTTCTGAGAGCCAATTGGAAGGTCCTCAGTAGCCAAAGCAGCCGAAAGAATGGGGACCTGAGCAGGCAGCTGCACCAAACCAACATCACGAGGTAGCACATGGACAAAGAGGCACTCACTGGGAAACTCAACCAGGCACCCCCCCCCAAAAAAAAACACCTGCAACACCGTGGGAACAAGACAGCCAGGCACAAGACAGAGACAGACAGACAGACACACATACACACGATGGAATGAAGAGAGTCAGTTTCAAGGTAATGTACTTGAACACAGATGGGATTACAAGCAAGACAAGTGAACTTAGGGAAAGAGCACAAGAAGGAAACCCGGATGTAATGGATGTAATTGTACTCACAGAAACAAAACTCAGGAATCATAATGAATGCGGTGTTTCCCCCAGGGACTACACTGTAATAATGAGAGAGATGGAAGGAAGGGGAGGAGGCAGAATGGCCCTACTGACAAGAAAGGAATGGAGTTTCGAGATGGCAATAACGGGTTCAGAGACTACATTACAGGCACCATAACGATGGGAGGACCAAGAGTAGTAGTAGCAGTGATATTATATTATATTATATTATATTATATATATATATATATATATATATATATATATATATATATATATATATATATGTATATATATATATATATGTATATATGTATATATATATATATATATATATGTATATATATATATATATAAGTATATATATATATATATATATATATATATATATATATATATATATATATATATATATATATATATATATATATATATATATATATATATATATATATATATATATATAAAACCCTCCACAAAATGACAGAAGACCCAGGCAAGAGTATGACAAACAACATGGCAGTCAACACTATAATTGAGAGAGCAGTCACTACTGCCTGTAGAAATAAATACCATCTGCTCATCATGGGAGACTTCAATCATGGAAGGATAGACTGGGAAAACAAGGAACCACACAAAAGTGACAAAGCATGGAGAGCTAAACTGTTGGAAGTGGCGACAAGAAACTTCTTAGGTCAGCATGTCAGGGAACCCAAAAGAATGAGAGGCAACGATGAACCAGTGAGACTCGACCTAGTCTTCACACTGAATGACGCTGACGTAACGGAAATTGACTTCGAAGCTCATGTGGGAATGAGCGATCACAGTGTACTGATGTTCAAGTATCTGGTCGAAGAAGGGTTAATGTACCCAAGGGAGAGCACAGAAAACAAAAGGATGTCATTTCAAAAGGGTAACTATGAGGAGATAAGAAAATTCCTAACAGATATAACTTGGGAAACAGAGCTCAGAGGAAAGATGGCCCAAGGCATGATGGACTACATCACACAGAAGTGTAACGAGACAACAACAAAGTTCATCCCAGTCCAAAAGGAAAAAAATGAAATACAGACGAGAAACCCACCATTTAATCGGAGATGTAAGCTAGCAAAGCAATTAAGTACATGGGCATGAAGAAACTATAGAAATAATAGGACACAAGTGAGCAGAGAAAGATACTAGAGTGCCAGGAATCATTATGTCAGGGTGAGAAGAGAGGCAAAAAGACTATGAAAATGACATAGCAAGCAAGGCAAAGACTTAACCTAAATTGCTGCACAGCCACATTAGGAGAAAAACAATAATGAAGGAACAGGTAATGAAACTAAAGATAGGGGCACACAACTTTACCACAAACAACAAGGAAGTGTGCGAGGAACTCAATAAGAAATACCCTTATGGAAGCTGTACCAAAATAATACTTACATAGGGAGGGAGGATATGAAAACCCCTCCCCCTGCAAAAGGAGACCCCTCCTCAGAAGGAATTGGGAACCACAGAGTCGAACAGGATCCAAGGGCCCATATCCAAATTCCCCCAAACCCAAGAAGCTGCATTCAAGGACCCCAGTGCAGAGCCAACATCCTTGCCCAATGCCCAAGATAGAAAAGTGGTGTTTGAGGGAGAAGCTTCAAAAGGAGGGGCTGGCTGAAAGGAAAACCAGAAGCCTCAGTGGGACCAGCTGCTCATCTCTGTGTTCGAACGGAAGGGGCAAATCCCAGAGCTGCCATTGCCACATCCCGGACTAAACCCTGCCCTCACCTGGAAACCCTCAGATGGTTTGGGGATGGAAGCAGGGAGAAAAGATCGGAGGAAAGGCAAACTATGCCTGTTACCTTGTGATGGTTTTGGGGCTTAGCGTTCCTACGGTCCGGTCCTTGCCCAGGCTTTTCCTGCCCTGTAGGGAAAGGAAGAGGAGGTGCAGACAGAGCCAAGGTGAATTTCACCAACACCTCCAATTCTGGATCGCTAAACACCAACATCGGCAATTCTGATGCATCCAACCAGGCACACAACCTAGACCACTGCCACCTAGCAAAACAAATACACAAAGTGGTTGCTGCCTGATGAGCCCTAATCTCATCAAGGAGGGTGAGAAAGAAGTCACATGTGGGAGAGCAAACCCACAGGACTCAGGGTCGAAGGTGTCACTGACCCAACAGGCAGCATGGTGCTGCCTGTTGTCACCCTGGCAGATCGTCACCCTGTGGCACGGACGTCAAAGAACACTTAAACTTGTACGAAGTGAGAGCAGGGTCATGGGGGGGGGGATATTCATGGGATTACCAAACTGAAGGGGATTTCCAAGGCCTGAAGGATAAATCAAGCAGGACACCCCAGGCAATGGGATTGCTTTACCAGACCTAAAAGTAAGCCAACACAGCCTGGCTCAAGTAACTGTGAAGGCTGACCTCTGCATGCTGAGAGAAATGAGTGAACCCACCAGTGCACCCCACCTGATACATCTGATCCAAGACAGCAAAGGATCAAGACTCCTGACTTATCCTGGGCAAGGGCCACCACCAGCAAGGAGGACCTCTAAGGAAGCAACTCTCAAACACTCCAGAGAAGATAACTATGGCAATGCAAGGGCAGCTCGAGGGAGCACCCAGGAAAGGTAACCCTGTACACAAAATGCTCCAATTACTCAAAACTTGATTCATGCTATACTGCAGTGTACAGGAAATATCACCAAAGGTAAACATGATAGCACTTAGCTGAACCAAGCAGAGCACCGGAGCCAGCATGGAACAGACAAGACCTGGTATGCACTATATCTGGAGTATACCTGGAGAGGGTTCTGGAAGTTCTACTACTCCCTGGCCCCAGGTCAGGCTTAACTTGTGATAACTTGGTCCAATATGTCTAACATCACCTATAGAAAATGGAGCTCGGATCCCAGCAGATGGTGAGCTACCCCCAAACGAGTGCGGGGAGGTGGGTTGAATGAGCTCACAGCAGTTCCAAGAGAATTTGATAGTTTGTTTACATATTTGGAGTTCTTCGGGCAAGTTTCGAGGCTTCTGTCTCTGTTGAATTAAGCAGTGGTTTATTTTGACTCCCTAACTTTCTGGTTGCCTTTCCCAGTGAGGTGGTGAAAATGAAATGTCACTGCTCCCTGCGACTTTGTGCAGGGAAGCCAGGTTCTGGTGCTGGTCCCTGGTAGGCCTATAAAACTCCATGGCCAATTCAACCTAGTAGATGGTACCATCTCACCAAATACAGTAATAGCTTCAGGGAGCCACTAGTGGTTACCTCCCCAAAATGCAGATACCGGGTATTTAATATTAGGGGAATTTGTTTCCTATGTAATGACCTGATACAGGACAAATACAGGACAAATTTTATTGTAAAAGTGTATGAGCAGCAGCTACTAATTTTGTTTTACATTATAAATTTATTTCACTTATACCAAAGGAGAAAACTGGCAGAGCTAATAGCACAATAGCACTCAACTTTATCATTCAAAAAATGCAAAAATAACATTGCAGTACTTAATGGCATGCTTTGCTTACCTTCTTTAGGATTTTCTATCATGCTGAGTGAGCCATCATTGCTGCCATATTCTAAATCAGACTCCCCATCAGGTGTGGAGGTACGATCGTCTTCACCTTTTGCTGAAGTCGAAATTTTATCTACTGCCGTACCTGCTAAAGATAAATATACTCCTTAACAGAATCAGGGTTAAATTGTTAACCCCTCCCTTTCTCTTACGATATTTCTAAAAAAAAAACATTGAATGTAATGAAACGCCATTTTCTGGTTGAGCCCCGGAGGCTCCCTGGAGCTTAGCGGGCTAATGTATGTTATATTAGACCGGGACATTAGCTAAGGAGTTCAGACTTACCAGGGACCAGTGCCAGAACCTGACCCCTTCAGAGAGGTTTCAGGGAGCAATGGCACTGGAAAACCCTCGTGGTTGGGGTTTTCCTTATCTGCCATCGACCGGGGTCAGGCACCCAGAAAGGTAGGCATAACAAAACAAACCCCACATGGTAAAAAACTAAAACAAAAAAACGAACAGATAGGTAGAAACTCCCTACACTCCCAAGGAAACAAGCAAACATCACACTTTACTGCCGTGCCGATTGTCCGTGCAGCCCTCCCCGCTCCGAGAGGGGGAGGGGGGAGCCCCGGACCTAGCGCGCCGGCTGCCAAGCTTCAGTTCGGAAGCTAAGCTTCAACCAACGCGAAAAAACAGCCAACCGGTGGGAAGGAGGGTTGCCAGGGAGCCTCCAGGGCTCACCCAGAAAATGGCGTTTCATTACATTCAACGCTGGTTTTCTGTGGGGAGCCCCTACGGCTCCCAGGAGCTTCATACCGAAGGAGAAGGAAAAGAAAGGGCTAACCCTGGAGGTGGCCACCACAAACTCCGCAACACGAAGCCGAGACACCAGGATGCAACCTGCGACCCAAGGCAACAAGAACGCACAGGAGCAGACGCGCATAAAGAATGGGCGGCCAAGAACCTGTGCGACCCTCAATTCCCAGTGCCCGAAATGAGCCCTAGACGTCACCAACACAGCAGCAAAAGCTGCAAATGTCCGAACAGCACGGGCGCAAAGACAGACCACAGGCTGGAAGACTGAAAAACTCTGCGGACGACTTGGGAGACCCGAGCCCTGAAACAGGAAACGAGGGGAACCAGATCAAACCAAAGCGCATCCCCAGACACGGTACGCAGGTAACGGCAAAAAGCACAACCGGACAACACAGGACGCACCCCCGGCCAAACCATTCAAGCATCAATAACCCAAGAACCCCTCTGGAAACCAGCCGTCTCGACCGTCGCCAGGACGGAGAAAGGCTGCACACGTACAATTCTACCACCAGTACCAGAGAGCAGAAACCTGAACCGAAGGGGCTACCACAAACTGAGGAAAAGATAAGAAGGCACCCTGATCAAGGACCAGGACGGCGCAGGCGACGCATGAGCAGGCCGGAGGTGAAACAAAACACGAGAAAGCGTACGAAACGGGGCAGATGTGACGTCCACCCCGAACGCAAGCGATAGCGGCTCCGCCAGCGCCACATAAAACGAGGCAACAGTAAGAAAACATCAAATAACTGTAGCCCAGAAAACCCAAGAAAGGACAAGACAACCCGATGCGAAAGAGAAGACAACGTACAAAGAGCAAGAAAAAGTGCATAGAAACACCAGGAACGTCATACTGTCGCCAAGACGAAACTCGCAGGTGGGACACTGTCAACAATGCCACCTGAACACCACAGAGATGGTGATACCCGCATCAAAATACCAGACGCGAAGAGCTAAAGAGAAGGCCGAACCAGTCACGTATAGGACCGATCCGACCTGCCGAAAGAGGCGGAGCTGCTGGAAAATGCCCCGGGTTCGGACACCTATCAAGCAGCGTCTGAAAAGAAGCTGGGCCGGCCACCAAGGAACCACAAGGACTGCTTTCGTGGGAATGGGGCTGCAACTGAGCCAGAGCCTGAAGCAACAGCTGGACCGGGAGAAGAGGAACAGGTACTCCCACCTCGACCAGTCCTGCCGAAAAGCATCCAACGTAAATGCCTCGCAGGTGGGTAAGGGCGCCACATAAAAAGGGCGACGCCTAGACCATGCTGACTCAAAGAACGTCCATGGCCAGGAGTCCATACGTCCGGCAGAGCCAACGAAACAAGTCGGCGACAACTGGCCAATCCGCAAACAGAGGAATGAACCGAGACAGCTGTCCGCCAGGACGCAGGACACACCCCGGACATGAACCTCACGGTTAACCAAACCTCGAGAATCCAGCAAACGAGCCACTCCAAGAAACCAACCCCAAAGGTCAACACCTAAGAGAAACCCTGTGGTTCCGGCAAAAACCGCCAGAGAACAGTCCGAATGGAGCTGAATGGTAGAGCACCGAGTGACCCAAACCCTCCGAAGCGCAAACCAGACAGCCACAATCTCCCGAACCGTGCTGTGAACCCGACGGACGGACAGACTCCACCATCCCCGGCCGACCTGGTGAGAACTGGCTACAAAAGCCCCAGCCGAGAGATGACCCGTCCGTGAACACATCGAGCAAAGGCTCGGGGAGGTGCCAAGGCACGGAACCCCGAAAACCCCAAAGAGGAAGCTGGTGACGTAGCACTAACACAAGTTCCCCGGAGGAACGAACTGTCCACCGCCGCCACCAGAGGCCGGAAGACAACCAAAAGCGCCCACCAACAGCAGGACCAAACGAGACTCAACAGAGCAAGCTGCTCCCCCAGCGCCCCGTCAACAGAGAAGGGAACAGAGCCCCTTCCGAAAGAAAAAGGACACATACACATACAGTATATACATATCATGTATATACACATAAACATACATATACACATACACATAAGATATGTGACACATGTACATGCGTACACACACACATACACTTGAAAAGAAAATTACAAGCTGCCGACCAGTGGGCAGAGCACACGCCGGCCAGGCAAAAAAAGCACAAAACTGCATCTAAAGGCCCACCTCGACAAAACCTCAAAGTCCCAGCACGACCACAACACGTACCAAGACCCAAAAAAGATCAGTCTGCAAGCCAGGAAGACCCCGGAACTCCAGAAGGCAGAAACCGGGTCACACACGAGGAAACAAAGCCCCCAGAACCCACAAAGGGGGCCCAAGAGGAAGAACCTCCGGAACGAAACCAAAGAACCCAAAGGAACCCGGAATCGAACCAGGCAGAGGCCAAACCACTACATTTTGCCGGCGGAGAAACACCACAGAAAGGCAAAGCACAACCCCCAGACAGAACCCCCTGGGAAAACGGTCATAACAGATCGGAAACCGAGGGACAAGGTGTGGGAGTAAGCATAACAGCCAAGGAAACTGAGCCCAAACCCAAAGGCCCAGGCCCAGGCCCAGACCCAAAACAGACAAAAATGGGAAACCCGGTGTAAAATCAACACTCAAACGTTCCCAGAGGAACAGGAAACGGGCAGAAAACACCAGAAAAGCAAAGAAACGACAACAGGAGAATAAAACCCCTGAAAAAAGGCAAAAACTCACCCAAGAAGCTCACTTGCACACCCAGTCGCATGTAAATAAACCGCAACGCCGCCCTGGTGGCCACGCCGGGAAACCGGCAGACGAAAATGGCCGCCAGAACAGGGGCTGTGACTGACGCTAAAGATACAAAAACACGCCAGCAAAAGTGGGAAGCAAGCCGATGTTAGAAAAGATGGAAGCTCTGGTGCACTTTCTTATTTACACAGGATATAAGAAAGTGCATGAAGAATATGCAGCGAAGTGACTCGAACCCATACTGCCAGGAGCAACGCAACTGGTATGTACAAGACACCTTAATCCACTTGACCATAACGACCGGACATAAGGAAGTGATAGCCGAAGCTATTTGAACCACTTCTCCGCCGGCACTCGGATGGTAATCTTGGGCATAGCATTTTATCAAATCACCTCATTCTTTGGGGCACACGTGAGGAACACAAATGCGAATGATTACCCAAGATAACAGAGGCCATGGGGCAGAGCCGTCCTCCACGCCCTTTACCTCCTAAGGAAAAGGCAGTCCAGGGGAAAAGGCAGCAAAGAAAGGACCGCTGGTAAGACTCAGAAACCTCGGCAGAAGGAGCAGGCTTAAATACATCCATCCCCAACCCAAATGGGGTAGCCCCCTGAAGCCGCCAGAGTTTCAGCACCAACTAATCCCGCCCCGACCCCGAAACCCACAGACGGTCTGGAGCCAGGAACAGGGAGGGGAAATAAAGGGCGAACAACACCTAACCAAAACAGGGCAGCCCCGGGGCATCCGGGTGGGAAACCAACTTAGTGCACTGCAGCAACTGAAACCTAGCATGCAACATGGCTGTTGCATGTACTCTAATAGTAATGACATCAGAATAGTACTGGAGAACAAGCAGAGGACATGACTCGCAAGACTCCGGGTCAAGGTGTCGTTGACCCAACAGGCAGCACAATGGACGCAAAAGAAGTGACTGTCACCCTGAGACAAGGGCACAGCAACCAATGAACCCGCCCAAGACGGACTGGAACCCGGAAGACAGATCCAGTGGTCACCAAGCCCCAACAGGGTTTTCCAGTGCCCGTAGGGTGTCGACTACAGGAAGCCCGGGCAAGGTGTTGTTAACCGGTTAAAACCCAAAGCTAACAAAGGGAAAGAGTACAACACTGAAACCCCTGTGACATGTACAATTATGGGGGCCTAGAAGAAGGACACCAAAATATTATCAGTGGAACTTCAGCCACAATAGACAGACCCCCACCAGGCAAATGAAAACAAAAATAAAATAAAAACCCTGCAAAAGTACAGCATCCCCAGAGGAAATAGGAACCAGCCGCCACGTAGGTAGGCAAGCTGTACAACACCTTGACGCCCCAACCAGCACAATACCACTTCTTACCTAAGGCCAATGGCCCCAAAACCCAGCTGGTCCTAATGGAGAGGTAAATGCCGAACAGCAAGAACCTCCATGGAAATGGCTTCCAAACGCCCCAGGGATGAGAACCCTAACCACACAAGGGCAATACTCACAGGGCGCTTAGGGAAGGGAGCCCCTAGGCGCATGCAGGCCCTGTACTGATGAGTAACTCCCTGGCCACCACACACAACAATGACAGCAGATGGCGCCATGAAGACAAAACACCGCCAAGGAATTTGAGGCCAGAGAA